AGTAGCCTGATTTTTTTTACTTTTAGATTTTTTTTTTTACTTTTTGGTTCATCTTCTGTTGTATTTCCTGCCCAGGAGGGGAAGATGACATCTAATATGAACTTATTCTGTTACATAAACTGAGTAAAAACTGAGACTACTGTATCTCCATACTGGGCACCAACTAAAGGACAAGCCAGCCCACAAACCTTTGTACCTTTGTTGCTTTGAACAGGAAGTTACAGGTCTATTTGCTATAAGCAGCTGCTCATTTGCTTCCAAACACCCACTGTTCAAACATATTTGCTGTCCAGGAATTTTAGACAAACACTTGTTGCTTTTAAGCACATCCTTGCCGTATGAAAAGCAAGTCTGATGTAAATGATTCCTTCATCCATTTGGATGAGATATGTGGTTTGTTCCCTTCTTGTTTGTGTGGGAGGGTTTGCTGGACCTTTGGCTTGCAAACTGGCTGATTTTTGATAGCTTTAGTCAATCTGGCTACTCAGTGAAGACATTGCAGAGAATACATCACACAGTGTCAAGATGACAACTCGGTGGGTGTCTGATTTGTTGAGCACTAAAACTTCCTGCTTATGCAGCTGGCGAGGCAGTAATGTACAGAAACATTACATGGGAAGGCTGGAATGTGGGAAATCAGTGACTTTCACAATATGACATTGCTTAGCAAAAAGCTGCCTTTGAAACCCAGTGTTCACATTTCCAATTAGTTTGCCTCTAGCTCTCATGCAAGGAAAGTCCTCATGCTACCAGGGAGGGAAAAGAAAGGAGGAGGGAAGAGGAGCAAGCAGAGCTGGAGGAAAGACTGTGAGTTATATTGCACACTGTGAATTGGCTATAAATCCTGGCTGCAGGAATTACTGAGATGGAGAAATAGTTATCTCCTAACTCTGAGATCCAATCTGCAAAGCCCCAGTGGCAGGGGGATGATTTATGTGCTACAAAGTCATCAGGACTGAGCCCCAGTGAAACAGATGCACACAGACTCTTGTTCTGTTTCACATGGGGAGCAAACCCCGAGTCCCTGGCTGGGTTGCAGGGCCATGAGGTGGTGCCAGAAGAGGGGCTGAGGTCAGGCTCCAGGGGTGCCTGGTGTGCTGGCACAGGCAGGAGGAGGATGCTGGTTTCCCCTGACCTCTGCTTGCTGATGAGCTCCAGAGGGAGCTGTGGCTCGCCTTTTCTCGCTCAGAGATGCGCCCACAAGAAGCAGACAGCAGAAAAAATGATAAATGTGTGGTCCTGGGAATCCCTCTTCTTCTCCCCTTCTCTTCATTCCAACCTTCTGTAAGAAAACTCAGCTTTAATGAGCTTTTATTTTTAAAGGTTCTTATAGAGCAGCCCTATGAAAATACACATAGTAAATGAAAGAAACTTCTGTGCTGTCTTTGTTTATAATTTTTGTAAGGATGCAGTAGATATCAGTCAGCACCTGCTTTAAAGCCTCCTGAAAAGCAGTGACATCCAGGATTGTTAAAGCTGTGTTTTTCAGAAGGGAATTCAGACCACTGCACAAACAGTTTTTCTCTAGTGCCCGAGTGTGTTTGTCGGATGCAAAGTTGATCCAGAAACATATTTTATTTTGAGGTGCTGCCAGCATTTGCCTCTCCCCTCTCAACAAGAGTGATTACACTGGAAACAATCCTTCTCAAGTGAGGATGGGAGGCTGTAGATTGCTGAGGCACAGGCACACATTTCCCTGTCAGCGCTGCCACCCGCGCCCGGGCTGTGGGTGTCTGCTTTTTAATCACCAGGCTCTTACTGCAGCTGCCAGCCAATCAGACCTCGCTGATTTACACTTTTTGGGGTTTTGGAGTGATGTTTATTTAGATACAAAACACCAACTTGCAGGCTGAATGCTTTTCTCCACACACTCAGGAAGCAAAGGAGAGCGAGCCTGAATAGAAAAGACGTGGTGCCATCACTTTTTTGGCTGTCCTGCAGACAGTATTAGAAATTCCAAACTGTACAAGGATGAAAGTGATAACCCTAAGCCATGGTTCTATGTGTTTAAAATAAACCAATAGCCTGTTTTGGTTCAGTTTGAAAATAACCTCTTTGATGGGTTGTGTGGCTTTTAGTTTTTATTATCTCCTTCAATTGAGAATCTGAAGCTGCCAAAATTAAATAGAAGCTTTTTTTTCCCTCTGTCCCTGCAGGTGAGATATTAAGAAGGAAAGAGAAATGTCTAAAAGCAGTGAAAACAGTATCAGTGTATCAAACAATGATATCATTGAATTGACTTCCAATTTGTCTGCCTTAGTATTAAGTTTACTCACTTTGTCTTGATAGGTTTTATTAGATAATAATCCACCCCAAATTTCTAAGATTATAGACTCAGTGTAAGTACATAATAAAGCTGTTTTGCTGTCAGAAGTGTTTGAAACTGTACTAGAAGTGTAAATGTGCATAAGGATACAGCAATTTTATATTCAGAGTGCAAAGAACAAATAAAATAATGCTAAAATCCTTCAGAAGGAATATTTTTTTCTCAGAATTGTCACATTCATCATTGTGGCTAAGCCGCCTGTACATTTCTCAGTGTGAGGTCACCTGGCAGCAACAGGGGACACCACTGAGCTGTGATTTGGGCCACAGGTTCACCTGTAGCAGTCTCCCTGACATTGTCCTGGTGATTTGGAAACGGGAGATGATGCAGTGTTAAACTTCCAGTAAACTTCACATCTGATCACAGCTTTGCTATCATGATATGTGCATTTTTTCCTCACTCTCTGTGAGGGTTTTACAACTCTGTGCAAGCTGAAGTGCCCTGTGCAACTCAGGGCTCAGCTACCTTACTTGGAACCCTTAAAGCCTGACAGAAAATATACTCAAATCCTGAAAAAAAACCCTCTGTAAAGCAGAAACCTTCTGGTTTTTCCTGATTCCTTCTTGCCATACCCTTCCCTGGAAGGCCAGCAGAAAAAGTCTCCCAGCTGGATTTCTGAGCACCCAGGCACAGAAATCACAGAAAACATGGGGTTGTTTCACCTCTGCACAGCCAGCTGCCCCAGCTGGCCTCAGGATTATCAAAACTAACAAAATTTGTAAATGTATAAATACAGATATGTTTACCCCTAGTGACACAGCAGAATGAGCAGCATGATACTCAGCCCTATTTGGAATTTCAAATGGATATTATGGTGGCTTTTACACGTTTTATTTAAGGAAAGGAGAGGCTGGGTAGTGGGAATTCTTCATACTAGGGACTTATTCTCCACTTTTTCATTTGTCTGTGTGTGAGTTAGGAACATGTGCCTGTGTTCACATTTTAGCCTTTCAGTGTGTGCCACATATTCTATCTAATCCCCCAATTTAGTCTATGCCTGATGAAAAATGATATGAAATCATGCCTAAAAAGGGTGAGATGTGTTCTGCATTTGAACTCTGAGAGGTTTATGGGACAGAGAGCAGCCTCCCACTGCTGGGAGCACTGATTTTCCCCATTTTCTGGGGAGAAAAGTTTGCAAAGTTCAGCTGAGACTGACTTCTGCTGTGCCCTGCAGGCTTCTGCTCCAGAGGAGCAGCAAAGCCTGGAACCTCTGCAAGAGGAAAGAGAAGTTATTTTATATAAAAATAAGAAGACATACAGCTCTAAGAGCAACTGCTTGTTATAAAATCTTGTGAATTAACTTCTTCTTTTGATGGATCTTGACACTTGTCCCATGTGCTCTTGATTTTAGGCAAGAAAGAAGAAATATTATTCAACATTTTTCACTAATTAGCAGTTAATAGCCAGTAAGAATCAGCAAAAAGTAGTGCTTTCCTTCCACTTAATTATGTTTCTCTTCATTCATCACATTCACAGGCCCTTTATTCAAGTTTTTATAACACTAGGCTAAATAAACCAGACTAAATAGCAGTTATTGAAGTAGAATGAAGGCTTGGATCAGACAGAACAAAATTGTTTTCATCACCTCGAAAAACATTTTTGCAAAAGATCATCCCAAGATGGACAACAAAACCTCAGAAACTTTTGGAAAGAGGAAAAAAACCTGCTGTGAGTTGGTGGAGTTTGGAGGATCCCAGGGAGTGCTTTGCTAGACTGCAATCATCATCAGCACGCTTCCCTTTGATCTGCCTGGAGATGTGGCAGGCTGTTTAAAGCTGGAAACAGCACTTCTCTAATGTTCCCTAACCTCAAAAACAGGATGCCAAACATAAGGTTTTTTTCCTCCTTTTTTCTCCCTCCAGCACATTCCTGCCAGAACAGACTATTCAATTGTGCACTGTGCGTCACGACCCTCTCTGCCGAAGGAGTGTGGGGAATGAGAGGGGTTTTGTTGCTGCAGGGAATTTTTTACTGGCTTTTTTTTTTTCCTCTGTGTGTGAGAGACATAAAATGCTCTGGAAATGTACAGATTCTTCCTGCCAAGAATGGTTGTTTTCACAGCTCCCCTCTTGCCAATTTCAAACTGATTAAGAAATAATAAAATAAAAAAAAAAGAAAAAGTTTTCACATATATATCCTAAACTCCCTGGCTGACAGATATTGTTGAGCAATTGAGTCTGTAAAAGTGCCAAAATAACCCAGAAGAATCGAAGAATCAAATATTAATACTGATGGTAATGTGAAAAAAGTGAGTTTTCAGTGACAAGAACAAATTCAAGAATAAAGTGCTGTTAACCAATTACCTTAATTAAGCTGGAACTATGACTTTCTAATATTTTTAAGGATCTTAGCTTCTCAGCCTTTGGCTTTAATTTTTTCCCCCAAAATATCTTTCATGCAAAATAATTAATTAATCTCCGAATACGAATGTTACTCATTTTGAACTCATGAAATATTTAGAGAGGATTCCAGCAAAATGTTCTCTCCCAACTTGCACTTGACTTATTCTAATTAACAAGTTGGTTTTGGGTATAACAGACCTTTATGATAGAAATATAGGTGATCGCAGCAGAAACACAGGCTAAATATTCTGTGGAACATGCACAAAAAGGAGAAAAGCTGTTTAGGGGTCAGAGAATTGTTGGAAAACAAAGGGAAATGTTTAACTCACTTTTCTGGCACCTTCTTCCAGTGTAGCCCTCGGCACAGGAGCAGACATTGGTCCGGACACAGTGACCACCATTCTTACAGGGGGGAATGCAAAGAGCTGGGGAGAGGAGAGGAAAAGTTCTGTGCACCAAACTCATGGGGGGATCAGCATTGCCAAAGCACAGGCTCCTTCTCTAGGTGCCTCTTTGGCAGAGCAGCTCACAGAGGTATTTTTTGGGAAGGTGTCTCCCCAGAGGGTGATTTGGGCTCTTGCCTGGGTGGAGACCCCGAATCTGTGTTGTGTGTGGAAAAAATGTGGGACATGACTCCTGGCACATGAGGGTCTCCTAGATACTTGCAGCTAAGTGGTCAGAATATTCCCAGTGGGCTCAGATTTTTAAGTCTCTGTCAAAGGGCTTCCTCAAGGGCTTCTCCCCATGAAATACAGATCAGTGTTGGACTTTGCTAATTGGCCTTGGTGTTGTTCTCCCTTTCTCAAAGAAGCAGAAGGAAGGGCTTTGCATCCATCCATTATATCCTCCCAGCAATTTCAGATCCCATGAATGTGCATACTTATTTCCAATCCAGTGTCTAAACCAGGACACTTGAGAGCAAAAATTTCAGATCACCTCAAATGTTGAAAATCACTTTCTGTGTTCGAGAGCAAGATCATCAAGTTACAGTCTAATATTTTCACTCTCTCCTTCATCCCCAACATCATTAAAAAAAAAAAAGTTTCCAGCAAGCTCTATTTGCAATTAGATTTTTCTGTGTGAATCATTCACTTGCAAAAATACACATCAGGACCACATTCATCTAGGAATGTGGGAAACAAAAGAGAGTAAGAGCAAAGAACTTTTAATGTTGCAGTCGTTTTGGGTGTACTTATATTCCCAGATTCAGGAGGAGTTACTAGATCCATATTGAAAAAAGAAGCGAGTGGTGTTAGCATAGGGATGTTCCAGCTGCTTGGGCCCTAAGTTCTCTTTCTTGTATGAGATACTGGGTTATTAAAGGATTCATTAATTTGTCTCCTGCAGCACAGTGTGAGTGAGAAGCCAGGATACTGTTAGCCTCAGTTTAGAGCTAGGACAGGAATTCAAAATCAGCTGCTGCTCAAGCAGGGCAATACTGGATCAGATTTTTAAGCAAGGATCTGGTGAGCTCCTACAGAAGTCTCCCATCCACGACACTTTAGGATGGTCAGGTAGGTGACACTGTGAGCCCCATTTGAAGGTAAAATATCTGAAACCAGTATAGTACACACCACAGGGTACAAAAATGAACAAAATACTGCCATGCTTTATCATTTTATTGATTAATTGCTAATTAATGATATCACTGACTCAAGTAGTTTTAGAATAATTATTTAGTTACCACTAATGGCATCACCAATAAGTTTTTACTTCTTTCCAATACCATCAGGAACAATAAAAAGTGGATTTATGACAGACTATAACAACAAAGGAGCACACATAGTTATGACAAGGAGAGACTCTGGATATATTTCATGTGGGGGTAGGTAATGTTAGAGGTGATATTTATATTTTGAGCCTGGGCCCTTTATCAGGATGATAAATAGAACTTTCTTACCTCTCTGGCACTGTGGCCCATAGAAACCAGAAGGACACGAGCACGTGTTTGGCCGTACACAGACTCCTCCATTCAGGCACACAGGATTGCACACAGCTGGATGGGAATATAAGATAACTTCATGGATCTCTGATAATGTTGAACTTTTCAGAGTAGGCACTCTTTTAATGCTGCACATGTCATTAGAATTAATATTTCTAGTGATACTGTGAAAAGTTTAATGCAGCCCTTGCAGATCACTTGTGCTGCAGCACTTATTCATGGTCAGCACAGTGGGAGCATTTCACTTGTTTTAGCATAGCTTGGGAGATGAAAGAGACTATAATTTAATGTAGTAATTTAATTTATTTCGGATGTATTCTTTTGATTCGCACAGTTCATTTATTTCCATTCCAGTATTCGCACCAAGCACGATCCCAAGGTAGTAAATGTAGTCAAATAAAATACACCCTGGATAACCTGGAGATGAGATATTAATTGTTTACTGCTTTGTTCTGCGTTCAGCAGAGCATTGTGGCATTTCCATGGACTTGAATAGGTGTGCACCAAAAAACCTGTTTGTTCTGCCTCATTTAAATGCCAGTTCCCACAACACATTGGCTCATTCATCACCAACAAAGCCACTGGCTGAGCTCCCTTTGCCTCTTTATGTATCTGTTATTACTCTAGATGATACAACAGGCATTAGGAATTAAAAGCTGTCTTGCATATTTCTATGTGGCAAGTACCAGACTGTTAAAAATAAAACTGTTAGAATTTCAAATTGATTTAGATGGGAAGCCAGTGTGTGAAGAATAAGGAATCTGATAAAGTTTTCATTGTAAAGCAGAGTGGCACTTTAAACCAGCCTTTTTCCTTCTGTTCCCTTTGTCTTTCAGTATCTTACAGGATAGCCCATTAAAAAAAAAAAAATGCATTTAAGCTTAAATAAATTAAGGGTCACTAAAATGTTTCAGATGAACTGAAAAAGAAATAAAATATCAATTTGGAATAAGAAAAAGAAAGTGAAATTGTAGTCTAGATTAGAGGTTTTTCTGACTAAGGAGCAGTCACTTATGAAGTCAAAATGGATTTAATTAATTGCTCAAGGGGAATTTGGTTTAGTCATGTCATTGTCCTGGCTAGTTCATAGAAGTCCATAATCTTGTCAGTCTGTCAGTGTTTATATTTCCAGTGGTAAAGTCATCTCTTTTTCGTTCATTTTTATACCTGTATTCTTCCTGACATTCCTATCATAACACTTGTGGTGGGAAACACCAGAAATGCCCACAAAATATTCTGTGCAGTGCACTCAAAACTGTGCCAGAGAGGTGAGTCTGGCAGCCTTTCACCAAAGCTGTCAGCAGACAAAAAATCCTGCTGCTGTTATTCTGGTCTGGAAGTTACTGCTACTGATGCTTGTTGTCTGTCCTTCTCTTGGAATGATTCTGTTTAAAGCCACCCCAAAATAAAATTGCAGAACTCCTTGAGAAGAATAAGCAGATCTAGTGGGAACCAGAATAGCAGTGACAATCCCAGCCATTTCCTGTGGGTCATAGCTGGGCTAATTTATGTTTCCTCAGTAGAGCTGTCATTTTAACACTTACAGGAAGAGCAATCTCCAGGAGATGGAGGTTAAAATGACATTTCTCACCTTCCAGGAAAGGTAATGTAGGCTGAAGGTGTCTCAGTCATTTAATATTCACCATGGCAGAGGCAGACTGCCTCTGGAGCCTTCAGGTCTGGCACTGATTCAGGTAGTTCTCATCTTTTAATATTTCACTATTTTACATGCCTTGTCCCAGGTGAGTGCTGTAGTTTCTGTGCCTTTGGAGAAAATATCCACCCCAGCTTTTAGGACTTTGATCCTGAGATGGGGGGGTCTGAGCTGTGTCTGTTTAAGACTTTGAGCCCTGGCTAGAAATAAGTACCTATTTCTAGTCCACACCTTGTCATTTTGTACTGATGGGTGGAGGTGGCTTTTTCCTGAGCTCCCACACTCGTGTGGATGTTTCCTGTAGGTGCTCTGCAAGTGAGGGATGCAGGCAGGAGGAGCAGTGTGAATTCTGGCAGCACAGCATGGTCAGAACTAGCTCCAGAATCACACTAACCTAAAAAAGCTGCAAAAGGATTTTGTTTGTAAATTCCCTCTATAAAACTCTGAGATTTAGGTAAAAATCTAAACCTATGAACAGCTACATAAACATCTAAATTTATGAACAGTTACTCAAGACTTTCTGAGGTTTTGCCCTGTACTTGATGTCCTCTTAAGTTTTAATTCTTTCTTGGTCTCCTCTTCTTAGGTTTTAGTTCTTTAAGCAGCAATTCCCAGTCTGAGCACTGAGCTGTGGGGGAAGCTGAGGGATTTTGGGCACTTTTGGGCACAGGATCAGGCACTGCCAAGCACTCACCTGTCTCACAAGAGGGGCTGCTCCACCCGTGCCTGCACTGGCACTCATCTGGTGACACACACACCCCCCCGTTGTGACAGTGCCTGCTGCACACCACTGCAAAACACACAAAAAAATCAAAATCTCTCATCACTAACCCCACTGCAGATCCTAAAGTTGTCCTATTACAGCCAATAACTGATAGCATTAGTCCAGGAGGTAAACTGAGGGTGGAAACAGTCCCTTTCCTTGATCTGCTCTCTCTATTAGAAGCCATACACTTAAAATTCGCTGCTTTTTAAGTATTCTGGCTATTCAGTTTCATAGATAAAATTATATTCCTCTCAGGGGCTACCTGATATTTAAATAAGCAGCAAGGTCTGTAATGATGGAAGTACATGTGTTTTGCTGATATAGGAGGGTTTGAAGGCTGATTTTCAGATATTTTCTGTATTGAACCTCTTTTTAAAGTCGTATTGCAGAGTAGCATAACTCCTAATAGGTATGGCGGGTTTTCTGTGTTCTCAAAATTAGCATTACTGCGTTCACTCACAATGTTAAATTTCATAAATATTACTATAGATAACATGCACTTTTTTTTTCATTCTTTTTTTTTGTTTGTTTTTTTCCGGAAGCAATTTTACGTAGAAAATGTTGATTTAGATGTGCATATTTTCACATAATACAACAATGCTGCTGGTAAATATATGCTCTGAAATAGCTACTGTATTACTTGAATCCTTTGTATTCAATAATCATTTTAAGGGGAAATAGAGGGAAAAAAATAGAAAAAAAAAGGCTTTTTGGTGGTTTTTTTTTGTTTTTTCTCTTGTAATTTTCTGTTAATTGAATTATCTGCTGAAGAAAGCCTGAGTGAGTTCATACATACTTGTTTCACACCGAGGCCCTACAAATCCATAAGCACAAGAACAGGTGTTGTGAGGCAGGCAAGTTCCTCCATGCTCACACGGGGGCTCACACTGCGCTGCAAGAGTGAAACATGAGGAAAAAAAATACACTTCAAACACGACATTCTCTGTGGTTGTGAGCACAGCACAGGTTACGTCTTTTCCCATCCCATTTTATTAATCCAGTGAGTAATTTGGCTGAGGGAAACACTGCAGGATAGCAGTAGCTATCCCATTAGCAATACAGCACTAATGAGCAGCTGTGTGAAGTCTGCAAGGGAATGGTTTTAACATAATCATATTTAACTTCTGAGCAGGCACATTTTAAAGTACATGTTTTGAAGGCTAGTGATGGATGAAGTACAAATGTAGTTACAACTCAAGACCTTGCCCATCCCTCTCTACAAATTTGCCTTGTGGATGATCAGGAAGCCTTAACAGGTGTCAGAACTCACAATAAGGCAGAGATTAAGTGCTTCTTATAGAAAGGAGTTGTGTGTGGACTTGTCAGCAAAATGGCAAACATTTAAGCAAAAAAAGTTAATATTTAATGAGTAGCATGAGCTCTGCAGACAAAGCAGCAAATTAGATAAAGAGTTCTTGACTTATTGCAGTATGCAATGTAATTCTGTGGGAGGAAAAGTGTAGAAAGTACTGCAGTTCCTGAAAGAGGCCATTTGCTGAAGGCATGCTTGTTTTTCAAATGTTGATAATTTTGAATCTAAAAACTTTGTTGCACAGGGTGCCTGGAAATTTTGGACCCTTAAATCTAAGATCTAAGGCAGGTACCTGAGAATTCTTTTGGTAATTGCTTATGGCAAACTCAAAAGAGGAGGAGGAAGATCACTGAAGGGACAGGATGATCACTGAAGGGAAAAATCATCACAGAAGGGACAGGATGACACTCAAAGGAGAAACTCTGTGGCGGGAGCAGAGCAAGAAATGTGTTCCAGAGGTACCTCATGCTACTGGAAAAAGAAAGGCACCTCACATAGCAGAATGAAAAATATCTTCCCTTGTGTGTGGGAAGTGAATACAGTGAAAAATGTTGTACTTTGGCTCACTTCACTGGCAGAGTTTTGTCTTTTATGAAGGATATGAGGCTAAGCAAGGTTATTCCAAGGAAAAAGCAAAGTGAAGCTAACGAGACCTGAAACTAAGCATCTTTCATTTTAAGTATTGTTACGAGGGAAGAGAACCTTAATGCACCACATTTTGTCCTTAAAGCTGGAAAATGGGCTATGGAAATGGAAAGCTAAATGAAGGACTAATTCTTGGGGAGTCACATAATTTAAATGCAGTTATTGTGTTGAAGACCTTGTTACCTCTTGTGATTGTCACCAGGCCATAGAATATGAACTTTGCCATCCAAAAAAATAATGAAAGCCCTCACACATTTTATAATTGTATTAAAAAAGACAAACTCCAAGAAGGTAATAAGTGCTGTTAAATAAACCACTTTGACACAAATAGCATTGAGAAACGTATTTGGTATTTAATGATGGAATTTTCAATGGTGCATTATATAACTTTAGTATTTGGCCTTCCTGAAAATATAAAACTTACAAGGTGTATTTTAGATTCATACTGTATATGCTGAGAATGTCATTAAGCTAAATTTAATTTTGATTGGATAAGGTTGAGCATTTGCAAATCAACGTGTGCTTAGCTGAAATTCCAAATATATATCTGTGGGGAAAAAAAAAAAAAAAGAAGAGATAAACCCAAATCATCTTTGTCTGGACAATTAAATAGATTTAGATAAGGTATTAGGAAGAAATTATTAGCTGTGAAGATTATGGGGCATTGGCACAGGTTGCCCAGAGAAGTTGTGGCTGTTCCATCCTTGGAAATGTCCAAGGCCATGTTGGATGGGGCTTGGAGCAACCTGGAATTGTGATTTCTTTGCCCCCCTTTGTAAGGGGAGTATAAAACCTGGAGAAAAATGTACCACTCTTTTTAAAGTACATTAAATGTGATTGCCTTTCCTGCAGGATGATGGTTGCATAAAGCCTCCAGGTGCCTAAGTGCTGTGCCAAGCACGGTGACATTCAGGCGTGTTACGCTTTATTTCGGCGTGGTTCATGTAGCACTTAAAGCAAATGTGTCCATGTGAATGGAACACTTTCCATCTGGCCTTTGCACATTCTGAGATGCATCTGAACTGTCAGAAAAGAACATGGTATTTTGGATATTAAAACATTTAGCTCTTACAGTGACATTTAATAGTAAAATGTTTAAAACTGTTCTATTACTGGTGAATAGCAAAAGATAAAAACTGAACACTGGCTCCTCTGTGAGAGTAAGAGTAATATTCACTTAAAAGACATTTCCCACTGTAATAGAAATATACTGCTTATGTCAAATTATTTTCCCAAACTTCTATCTTTCATCTTCTGAAATGAATACTTTTTTCCAAGAGCATTTGCTAAATTGTAGAAAGGTATTGCGGTGTTTTTATACTAAGTGGTTTTGGACAAAATAAAGTGATTTGGGAAAAATAACAGCAAAGAGGAAAACATTGCTGCAAATGGTCAATCTTACTGTCAAGTGTACGTATGTTTATGTTTACAATTTAAAATCTGGAGGTGAAAATGGAGAAGTGCATTATTATTTCCTTTGAAAAGGCTTTTTGGGAAATATCCCCAAACTTCTATTTTCCATTAAAATGAGATCGTACAGTTTTTATAAGTTTCTCTGCAATAACTTCAGGGGCACTCAGGAATACCAGATGCTCTGTTGTTTCCCTTATTTTCCATAGCCTAATCAGCAAATGTCTTCCAGGACAGAGTTATTGCTTGGCATCTCCACAGTGAGTAACTCCCTGTGCCATCCCCACCTGAGGCCCTGGGTCTGTGCAAATAAAGCCAGGCTTGGAGCTGTGGGAGCATTGCCTGCTTAGAATTTTGCACCAAAGTCAGATCAGGACAGACTTCACTGGAGGGAGCATAGTCCACCTTGTTTCATTCTACATTATTCATTTCCTTTCAAAGATACATTAACCTAACTTCCTAAATGTGCAGATAAAGTTTTAATGCTTTCAACACAAGGGTGAAGTGGAAAAAGGGAAAGGAAAGTTCCTCAGTTGTTGTTTTTTCTTTTGGAATGCTGTGCATCGAAGTGTTTCTTTTGCATGTAAGATACACAGATAAATGAAATGAAGCATAGGATTAAAGCATGTGTTACTGCAATTAAATTAAGTCATTGCACATTTAAATAGTCCAGCAGTCTGGGAGCCCTGTTGTGAGAGAAATATCCGTCATAGCAACTGGAATATTAACAAGAGAAACTTGACTGACTAAACTGGGAATACAAATGCAGGCACCAGCGCTGGCTAAGTTGTACAAATGCATTTTGCTTTGTGAAATGTCAGCTGAGTGCTCATCTGAAGCCAAAAAAACCCAAATAAAGTGGTAGGAATTGTTAAGAAAGGAGCAGAGCACACCATGCCATACTGCCTGTATCCATGGTGAGCTCCATGTTAAATACCAGGGGCAGGTCTGAGCCCTCAGCTCAGAAAAGCTACAGTAGAAGCCGAAAAGATGCAGAAAAAGATGCAGGGATAAATAAACAAAGTTATAGAAGAGCTTTTGTGCAAAGAGCAAGTGAATAATGAGGTCCTTCAGAAAAATATGACTTTAGGATAGAAAACTGTGAAATCAGATGTGGCCTGGAAAGAGTGAACAGGATAAAGTTCCAAGGCATCACCTTGGTGTTTTGGAGCACGTGATCCATAATTTCTGAGAAGCTGTTCCAGACAGTATCCCTCTACCTTTCCCACATATTGCCAGACAAATGCAGTTGGCAGCTATTGGAGATAGGGAAAAGAATTTTGGTTTGATATGGTAGATCATTTTGGGTGCAAAATGTAAAAAAATAAAATAATGTGAGTCACGCAATTTTTTTCTCATTTCATGCAGCTGTACATGGTGAAGTCACAATGCTTTCCCAACTACTCCATCTCTTCTGTTATTTTGAAAATTATTTGGTTTGAAAAGTGGTTTTGTAATGTCAAGGCAATGCTGTGTTCTTAACTCTCCAGCAGTAAACATCACTCCCACTGTTCTAGACTTCCCATTGTTCCAGACTTCTCCTTCTCTTTGAAAATACTGTACAAAGCCAATTAAATATTCCAGATTTTTACTGAGTTCACCTTCTTAAGAATATTTTTCTAAAATATTATAACTTTATCTTTGACAGGAGTGCTGCGAATCTTTTATGACAGCTGAAATACCAGAAGGATACCACTCCTTAACTGTCAACCTAATCCAAAATGATTTTAATGTATTCTATGAAATGGAGGCTGACTTTTTAATAGTGCAGTTTTAGTGACCAGAAACTCCCTATCAAAGGAGCTTGGAGTCAGGGAAACAACAGCAACAACAAAAAAAGGATGATGAGAAATTTGGTTTAAATTCTTATGTTCATCAGTTTTCAGGTCTAGGTCTCTCAGAAAGAAGCCCAACAATGATACCCAAAGCAGAATTTTTCATTCAGTTCAATTCTGTTCTCAAATGGAAAGGCAATGTTCCACCTCAGGGCACCCTAAGGAGCTCCAGGAGTACAAGAGCTGCTCTCAGGCAGTGCCATATGCACAGACCCTGGGGAATGAGCTGAGCCCAGGGAAAGGACAGCACTTTTCCCTTTTCCTTGTCCAGTAGATGCAACAGCTTTGCAAGTTGTACTCAACCTGTGCACCTTGGTAGAGTGGGAACAGAGGCAGGATGACAAAGAACTGCTCTAGGGTGACTACCAAGACTAACAAATATTTCAGAGTGTTAGCTCCAAGTGTTACAAATCACTGCAGCACACTGTAACAGATCAGACAAAATGTCAGAAAGGCTGATATCTGATATCAATCCTGTTTGGGCTTGTTCTGCATTATTACAGTGCCAGGTTTTTGTTCAACTGGCACATGGAGCTGAAATGTGTAAAGCCCTGTTTGTGCTCTGATGCTCCTGCAGTGCTCCTTGGCAGGTGATTCGTGCTGTCCCAAAAACTGCTAGAAGGAGACTGTACCAGTGCTTTGGTTTTTACTGCAGATATCCTTGGAAGCAGCACTCAGAGTGAAAATTAGGTATTTAGCAACTTCCCTCATCACCAGAGGAACGCTTGGCTAAGCTTACTTCAGAAATGCCATAGAGCATCTTCTGCTAGAGAAAATGTGGGAGAATCCAGTGGGCTACAGCAGGCCTTTTCTCCCCTACTTATTTTTTATTTTTGTGTAGGTGATACTGACTGTCTCCAAAAACACTGCTCTGAAATGAAGATTTAAAGCTGGCCTGTTTGGCTTTGAAGTCTTAATATTTGGCTACTAAAGAAAGTCCTATTGCCTTTGTGCAGGAAGGGGAAAGAGCTGCAGAGCCTTGAGGAAGTGTTTCCTCTCCCTTCACCTGCAGAGTATGTAGATGCTGACAGAAGGAAAATAATCTGTAATTCTTATTACACCAAAGCAGGAGGAGCAAAAGCAGAGTTCTGCTTCTGACAGGCAACGCAGATGTCAGCAGTGAAGGGAGTGATCCAAATGGAAACTGCTGAAATAATCTGAAAATATCTCAGATGTCTGAATATGAGCTAAACACACTGACATTTAGCTGTGTTCTTCCAAGAGAGGGTAGGAGGTTACACCTGATGGTCCCCAGGGGTCTCTTCCATCTTGTGGTCCTGTGTGTCTGTGACCCCCATTGCAGAGGGAGAGGAATTCCAACTGAACTGTGACAGGGAGACTGAGGGGCTTGTCCAGAGGGATAATAATATTAAAGATATAAAATGTGTTATGGTATACTTTAGGAAAGAAATTAGTTTTCAGGATGCTGCTGTTTTTTTCCTACTAGTCCTCCAAACCTGGTTTTGAATCTGCACATTTGGAAAAAAATGAATTGTATTCTATCACAGAGTACATACCAATTGGTGAAGTAATTCTTATTTTAGATTATTTTCAGACATTCTTATTAAACAAAGGTCACATCCCCTCAAGATCCAAAGGTATTAAAACTTGCTATCAGCGGGCTGGTTCTTTTATATTGTTGAATTTTGATATGAAATAAGATGGTGACAACTATCAATAGAGTCTGAGTCTCTTGACATTTTTGCTTGCTTGCCAAGGATGTTATGTTGAAGCCTGGAGATTTTGCAAATGTTAGACTCATCGAAGCTTTGATTTTTTTTTTTTTTCCCAATACTGTGCCTCCCATTCGCAGAGGACACTGCTGTCTTGAGGAGAGTTGGTGTAGTGTGGGCATCTCAAGGTGCTGATGGCTGAGGTTGTGACAGGCCTTAATCCAAGAAATTACCCTCATTTTTCAACCTTGTTTGTCGTGATGAATCACTTTCATCTGACATGGGGAGAGACATCCAAGGCTGGAGGTACAATGGGTGCTGTTCACAGCACTGGCTCTGCTCCAAGTGCAGGTGTGCAGGGGCTCAGGATGGAGACGAGAAGGGAAGGGACAGGTTAATTATTGAGTCAGGTGTCATGGTCAGTGACAGGAGACAAAAAGTTTGTGCATCGTGTCATCAAGGCCCAAAATGCAGAATGCTGTTAGTAATAAAGTATTTCATCCTAAGGACTCTCCAGGGAGATTTTCAGTAATACCAATAACTGAGAGAAACATCTCACAAGTAAAAGGCAGAGACAGATTTACATTTGAAGGTAGATTTATGTTTTAAGGACTATACTGATGGGTCTGCTAAACACACAGCAGCCTTGTGTCCAGACTGTAAATATTCATATGTACATGGGAGTGGTTTTTGAGGAGAGGCCTCTCTGTGGCCAGACTTGCTTTGAGCTTCCCAATACCAGAACCTGTTTGGTGCTTTTCCATCTCTAGGTATAAAACAGAAGTTAAAGACAACCTCCTTTGTGCCAAGTAACTCTAAAGGATTCTTTAGGAGCGGCATTTCAGAAATGTGCAGAAAGGAAAAAAAATGAAGTGCTCAGGATTACAGAAACCTTTTCTTGTACATCTTGTACTGTATCTCCAACAGTGCTCTGAGCTCAGAGAGCTGCAGCAGTGCTGGGGGCTTCACACCCCTACAAAGCTTGGCTTACAGCAAGGAATCCCTGCAAGGTCCTTCCCAGTACATCATGGATGAGACCCCCCTGCTCTGCGCATGAGGAATGAGAGACCAGACGAGAAAGGGGGGAATGAACGCTAATGAATGTTACAAATACTTTTGCTTTGTGTGGTGGAAGGCCAGTTAAGATATCAACTTCTCAGAGGGATGTCAGCAAAAGGTGTGATTAATGATAGCAAAGTCAGGGAATTCATTGCTTCAGCAAAGTACGTAATCCTATGGTTTTAGGGAGGGATTCTCAGGTGCCTAATAAATAACTCAATATATTGTGAAAACCTTCTGGTGCTATACATTTCGGATGACAAGTTCAGTTTCATATTTGAGATATTAGATAGATATTTATGGGTAATTTTTAAGATATAAAAAAATTAATTTTTCCTAGAATGTGCTGTTTAGAGAAGCAGAATCAGTTTTACTCTTTCTCACAGAAATTTTATATGGTTTTGAATGTGATGACTTTAGTAGAATCCATCTGGTATTAAGCAAGATCACAATCGGTCCTTAGGTTTAATAGATTAGATGGTATCAAATAAATATGTCATTTTTGTAAGCAGAAAGAGCAGCTTAAAAGCTATAGGTTTTATTTATTATTTTGAAATATAATTGGTTTTGAAAACTGAATGGTCCCAGCCACAAAAATATCCAAATTTATAATAAAAACCAATTTTTACTTTGGAGAATTATTAGACTTGGAGCTATTAGAGCATTTTAAAGAGGACTTTCTGCCTTACCTTCACACGTAATTCCATCACCACTGTACCCAGGGGGACAAGGACCACATTGAAACTCCCCATCTCCAGCTGGTTTGCAATGCACTCCAGTGAAACATGGCAGGTCAGCACACAGGGATGCAGCATCCCGGGAAGGGCCCAGCCGATGTGTGCCCACAGGAGATGCTCTGGGCTGCTCTGCTGGGAAACCCTGGGGTGGTTTGTTCCTCAAGACTGAGACTCGGCTGGGCCATCTCCTGGGAGAATAACCATGCCTGGAATGAGTCTGTGAGCTTGCAGGGAATGAATCTGAGTTTGTGTTGGTATGAGGAGGAACAGTCCGTGCTGAAGTTTCTTTGTGCTGCCTAACACGGAGAGAGGGGTGGGAGGTCACACTGACACCTGGAGCTCTGGGCTCTGGCTCCTCATGCAGAAGGGGTGTGCCACTTTTCTCAAGAAAAAGATGTTTCTCAGGTGCTGTGAACTCCATGTCAGGTTGTTTTTCTGGTGACATCTGAGCTTGGGAAGTCTCCCTTTCCATTGTAAGGGATGGAGTGTGAATGGCTGCGGGGTTTCTCTCCAAAAGGAATGTAATATTTTGTCTTGGAATTTGGGGTTGAGAAAGAAGGGGAAATGCATTTCTTGATGTCTTAGATGCATCTTCTTGGTGAGAGTCTCTAGCATCTTCAATGTTTCTTCCAGGAAAGTCCACATGGCTTTGGAAAGATCTTGAAACTAGGGCAGAAGGAAGATAAATATTAGCTAAATTTGCTGGTCTAGAATTGAAAGGAACCACAGTGAACCTTTGGGTTTGGAGCAAAGAACAGAACATCAGTTCTAGAAGTAAAAGAGTTAATTATCAGATAATTCAAGTAGGTTTATGCCAATTGGCTTAGAAATTACATGGGACTGTCTGCTGTGGGTGACACCAGCACTGATGCACAGGGAAGTGCACTGATGACACTCAAGGCTGGCATTCATGAACCACATGAAATATATTTTGGTAGCAAGACTCAGGGAAGGCCAGGCATTATCTGAGTTGCAGCACTGGGCTGAAATGCACATGTTGCAGAATTTCTGAGACAGAGAGGGCATGATTTATGTCTGGAATGAGATTTGAGCTACTCCGGTCTAGGCCTCAGATTTGGGACTGTGAGGCCCTCTAAGCCTGTGATGCAGTTAGAAATTAAGAGTTTGTGGCACAGTTAGAAATTGTATTAAGGTGTGATGGGAAGCACTGGGCTGTCTGGGTATAGTTTATAGTGTGGGGCTTAGGCCACCTTAAGACAAAGACAAACAATGTTTGCTTGCCAATAAGAGTGCCTTTGTAAACTGTAAACTGTATAGAAGAGTATATAAACTGCCATCTTCTCTCTAATAAACGGAGAGCGTTGGATTAATCATATTGGTTTGACGTGCATTCTGTCCTGTCCAGCTTTCCTGTCTTATGAGGACCCTGGTTTCAAGCACGGGTTAAATTGCAGCCAAGCAAAAACTTGCCGTGCTGCTTTACTAATTTTGGCTTACACTAGTCCAGGAAGTTTTGGTACTGTGCACTTTTTTTATTGGTGAATCTTCCAGTTCTTGACCTCCTGAGCAAGGATTTGCTTCTTATTATCTGCCTGTAGCGCAATGCTGTGCTGGGAAATGCTCTGAGGGCGTAACTCAGAGAGTTTGCATTCCAGCTCTTCGAGTCAAGGAGACAGAACACCACAGCTTGGCACGGACAGACGCTGGAGGTGGAGAAACACACAGTGCCAACATGGCCCTTGGCAAGAGCGTGCTTTGGAGGGGCTCCAGTGCCATCACACCAGTGGGTGACTCTGGAATGCTTCCTAAAGGGAAGTTTTAGGAAAGCTTTTAAAGGAGACAAATGTTGGAGCTTTGTTGGTGCTGCGTGCAGCTCCCTGCAGGCGTCAGGGGCAGCGTGCGAGGGAGCGGCCGGTTTGTTTCTGTCACCCACTTGTCCCAAAGCCAGCCACCTTTTCAGCTGTGTAAGGAGGGATGATAGATGGGCAGAGGGGACTCTGTGAAGGGCCTTGAAAGTGGAGACGAGTAGTTTGAATCAATACTTTCAGGAAGATTAATGGCCATCTGCTGACGCTAATGAATGGAAGAGGCTATTTTTAACCGGTTCTGGCATGCTCACTCTGTAGGATATGGAATATATTGGATCCTGAACAACAATCCTTGCTTGGTTCTGGGGTTAACCCCATGCAGGATGCACCTCTTTCTTTTTAATATAAATATTAATCACTTTCTAAAAACTCCCATTGATGGAGATCTTAACCATAGTTAGCAAGGAAAGAGATTCAGATGCTTGGCTAGGGTCAGATGAAAGTTAGGGCATTGACTGGACCAAAACAAATCCTGGCAGCCAAAGCAGTGTTTATTTGGCTGATAAATAGTGTCATTCTGCTGGCAGCTGATGAGTTGCTATTGCCCTGAAGCACAATGTTTTGGAGATTTACAATGGTGCTGGATCGAGCTGTGGCCATCAGCAGGTAAATACGTGGTATTTAGTGGAGCAGAAGGCAAATATGTGGATTTCAGTATCCAAAGTAAGGCTGCTGAATGAGGAGGGATACAGAATGGAAGAACAGAGATGATGAAGCAGGAGGACATCAGCAAAAAGAGCATGTGAGAATAGGAGAAGTCAAAGGATTTTTAAAAATGTATGAATGAGAGAAAGATGAAAGAAATATCTCCACAGAAAATTATCAGTAATAGATGATCATTATAGCCCTTAGAAAATTTGATTCAGGGACCAGAAATCAACAGGAATGACAGTGAAGGGCTGAATGACCTCTCTGACAAATTTCCAAAATGAGCTCTGATTATAGCTTTGAGCTCCTTCCACTGTGTCATAATTAAATGGGTTTTCCTCCCAATTAAATCTGAGTAACTAGTAAGGGGATCAGACTGACTACCTGAGAAAGAGAAATCTTTTATTTCTTTAGCAGATAATAGAGGTCAGATACCCATCGTTCAAATAAACTTCATCTTTCCCTGTATGGGGGAGCATATTTTTTGAGTATTTCTGTGATAAAGTAATTTTTACATCTCAAATGCTACCACTGACGAGTAGTGACACATTTTTGTTGGTCATTCATTATGATATGTACTGATAAAGGTCCCTCAGCCACTCTGCAGAGTGAAGATGTTGGTGTCATTCAAGGGTGTTGACCAGAGTGTCCTCTCAGCTTTCATTGTTTGAGATTTTTGCTTGTATTGATGGTTTGCAATTTAGTTTACATAAGAACATGATAGATTTTTTCTGGAATACCTGAAAATTTATTTCTACAGGCTTCCAAGTATCTAAATAAGCTAAAACAAAGAAAGCAAACCAAAAGAATGCAGACTCAGTTGTCTGTAGTCAGCAGCTTTCTCAAATCCTGCATTACTTCAATTTATTTTCCTTGCTGTTGATCAATATCTTCAAATGTGTAAGCCATTATCAATGCAAACTCTGAGTGTGTGAATCTGTTTTTCCCTGCTATGCCAGCATGTGATTGCATATTGGACTGGGTGAAATCACCACGAAAACCCCACAAGGTGAAGTGCTCAAGGTTACATGATGGAACAAACCCACATTTTCACTACCTGTTAGTATTTCTGCCCATACAAACAGGGAAATGGGCAGCAGTGGAACAACTGAGTTTATTCTTCACAGAAGTAGATGAGAGACTGACATGTTGCTGCTCTGTTCCAGCTGGGCATGGCAGGACCTCTGCTCTTATTTATGCACTGTAAGTGAGCATCATTCCTGTATGGATCAGGTCCCAGAAACACAGATTCCTCTGCTGTCCCCCTCTGGGAAACATTACAGCAAGAGTGACAGAGAGCAAATTTCTGAGACCCAGGTTTAACATCCCTCATCCAGCTGGACACCAGGGAACTTTCCACCCAGGTGGTGCAGGAGTCCCCCAGCCTGTGACCCTCCAGCCTCTGGTTCTCCCAGGGACTCACACTGGGATTTCACAAATCAGAGCTGTCACAGGCTGTCCCTGGTTCCCCAGTGCCATCACAGTGTTGCTAAGGCACAGCAAATTTGTAGGATCCAGATCACTCCCAAGGGAATAAAAATGACCACTTCAGCTGGTGAAAACAGCCATTCACAGAGAAGGTACTTGACATGTCTTAAACCCAGGGTGAGATATCAACATTCTGAAACAGAAAAGAAATCCAGTATATTTTTCTTTTCTGAGTTTATGGTTTGCTTGTTTGGAGGTTTATTTATTTTTTTTTTTACATTTACAGTCTTTCAAAAAAAGACCAGATCCAGGCTTGAATTAAGAGAAGCCATGTCCTTTTCTGACCCCAACTATTTCTGCTGCCACTGAAGCAGCACACACTTCACACCCTGCCCAGAACAGGGTACACCAGGTTGGTTGCCACATTCCCTGGTGCTGTTCCCTCACATCTTTGCTGGGCTTTGACTTGACACTGTTCTTCTCAAGGCACGTGCTTGGAGACAGCCCCATCCTGACCAAAACTGGCAGCTGACACTTCAAACACTTAACTGCCTGCAGATATCAGTATTTATCACCTTTCCATTGCCATGCTTCTCTTTGTAGCTTTTAGGGTTAAAAACTTTCCTTTTGGGTTTTAAATATGAGTGTAACCTTTTACTTATGTAATGACTTGAGCATCACCATGAAATCTCAACTGCTTCTCTCTCTTTTAATCTAATAAAATGCCCCAAACCAGTCTGCTCTTCAGGTGGAGACTGGTTCCTTCTCCTTAAATTCCTCTGGCTGTGGCCACTTCTGCCTGTCACTTCAGAGGGTTATGGGCACCTTTAATTCTGCTCGAGCTACAACTCCTTCAGAATTCTGTGAACAGTTTAAGGATTCATTATTAACACAATTCAATAAATTTACAATTTGTGTAGTTTTAGAGCTATTAACATTTAGTAGTACCTGCTGTCCAGCCCATTTCTCATTCAGAAAATGTTGGCAGAGAAATGCTCTTTTGACATATTACACTGTGTGGGTCATCATTTAAAATTTGAGACATCTACCAGCCCATAAATCTTATTTAAAATGTCAAGAGAGAACAGAAAAATTACACTGGTCTAAGAAGTCTTGTTACTAGAGTGCTAAGGATATTCCCATTTCCCTCTGTATGCTTCCCTGTTAATATTTGTTTCTGTATTTACTGAGTGAGAAAAGGGAAACAAGAGCAGCTGTCAATAGGAGGCTCCAGGGAAATTCTGTTTTTTTCATCAACTCTTAGTTTTCTTTTTTATATTATTATGTTCTGGCATTACTTTATTTTCTACTTAGAGTGTATTTAATTCCTACATCTCTTGTGTTGCCATCCAGTGATACTCTAATATCTTCTCTCTCCTAAATATTCAGTTACATAGTTTTGATTCTCCCTTCCTTCCTCTTAAGCATCCAGAAGTTCCCCATATTAGATGCTGGGTGGAATTCCCAGTCACTCTATCTCTTCTACAATCATGAGCAGTAACTACCAGAATAAATTCCTCACCACCTTTAAGTGAAATACAGCTTCAACCTCCCAAGTCTACAAAGAGTTACTTCCAGGATTTTTTTATTTTTTAGAAACAAAAGCATTTCAAAGGTTCATTTTGATTTGGATATGAATGTAATTTTAGACAGGATCTTAATTTTTGACCTAATGCTTCTTTACGTATTTTTTAATGTAAAAAAGTGGAATGTCTAATGTGATGTGCCTCACATCCACACAGCTCAGCATAGAGCAGAGCA